CCTTTTTCCAAACCCCTCCTTTGGTACCGTAGGATTTTGGACAACTGGCGCCATGCTGCAATTCGGGCGCCACTTTCAAATACTGCATTTTTCAGTTCTGCCCTCGGGGCCTTTTGCAGAAATGCCCCTAGAACCGTACGTGTCACCGGTACTTATACCGGCTCCCCGTACGGTACGGGGACCAGTCTCGTACCAGTTCTCTGCTGCTGTACTCGTACTCAGTGTGACTTGCTGTTTTCGGCATTCGGGAATCCAAGACTTTGACTTTGTGCCTTGCCACTGTGTCTGCGTCCGATCCTCAGTCCGAGTCCGTCGTGTCGAGTGAGTGAGTGTGTGTGTGTGCTCTCACTCTCCCCCTCTCTCTCCTCTCCCTCGGCTCACCCTCAGCCTCACGCTCGTTACAGGGAGTGCCATAGGTACTTACCTGGCTATGGTGGCAGCCATCTTCAATCACCTTGGTGGGCGCTGTAGCAGGAAGACCCCAGCTGGGGTAGAGCTACAACAAGAAGCTTATAGGCAGAGTCAGGCATGGCGTCCTGAGCTAGAGCAGCCATAGCTGCTTTGGGTTGTCCTTTGGGCATCAGGGCAAGGCCCAGTAGTCCGCCATAGCCTCGGCCTATGAGAGTGAACAGTGAGGGAGGCGGCCATGGCTATGGTGGACCATACCTGCAGTAGAAGAGGGATTCGGACATTGATTCTGGTTCATCCATTCAACATTGTACTATTATTTCTTGTGCGAATAAGAGAGGAGTAGAGGAGGAGAGTGTTTGGTGAAGAAGAAGAGCTTTATCATTTGTCTATGCTGGTGTACATCATCCTCTTCTTCTTTCTTTCTGCTTCTTCTTCTTCTTACCCTCTCTCTCTCCTCTCAACTTCATTCATTTCTTTCTGCAATTGGACGGCATTGTACTATCTGATGAATGAGTACTTCGAAATTTGCCAGGATCATAACAATTCTGTGTTTCTGGCAGTTTATCTTGGCTATGTAAGCTCAGAAACAAAGAATCCAGCCTAGTGGGACCTCCCCAGTTACGATAATAGGATCCCTGTGCTCCAGCTCCGTTTTTTTTCCAGCAAGAATTTACACAGAGGAGTGCAGTCGACCGGAAAACGTGTAATAGTTCTGGTGGTGTGAATACAGCAATCATTCACCTAAAAAACTTGTCACGGATCTCTTCCCGAATCTCATTTGTCAACGAGGTGCTGACCCCATCGTCATTACACAGCACTGAGCTGCATCGTGAAAGTATTACTTCAGGTGCTCCCTTCACAAACAGCACCTCTCTCTCCTTATCAACACACAGAACACTCATCATCTTCCTGTCTCTTGAGAACTCCAGTGATGCAACCTGCGCACAAAAGCACACACAAGATTGTGCACAAAAGCACACACATGATAATACCATCAGATACATACATGAATGATACCATCAGCAGCTGGGAAGGAAGTCTATGTAGCATGCTCAGGCCCACTACACAGGCCCCAGGAGGGCCAACTTTTGCACTTTGGGCTCCAGGTCGTGTGCCCCATTAGTTTGGGCAGCCTGGAGGGCCATCTCCATTCTTCTAGGCCTAGCTTTATTTTTGTCCCATGGACCCATTCCTTATTTATTTTCTTTCCAGCATCTATTTACTTTTCAGATGGTACTGATTTTTTGTCTGGTCTGATCTTTGTCTGTTCCTGGTAGTGACATTTCATACTTTCCTTTTCTCCGAACAGGCACTGATGCCTGTTCGGACCAGTGCACCACGTTTTTTGCTGTTGAAGGCCAGGTACACTTCCGTCTGCATGCGGACTAGACCAGGCATCTGTCTGTAGTGCCTGGCCCAGTCCTTGTCCATCCTGGACTCGCCCTGCTGCAACCCGGTAGGAACCCAAACAGGCCAAGATAGGCCAGCATTGCATGACCAGGACTTGGGCCTGTGATCAGGACTGAGCGGGCTTCAGATCCGACGGCACTGAACGCAAATCGAGGGCAGCACAGCCAGGCCCGGCGGTATATAGCAGGGCCAGCCCTCCAGTTTGGACTCAGTGCTGGAGCACCATTTGGGTGACTCGCTGCTGGAGTGCACAGCTATTCTAGAAGAACTGCATAGAGTAGCACCGTAGAGGAGCAGGAGTAGGCTAGAGACGAGAGGCACTGACTGGGAATAAAACGCTGGAGTCAAACAATTCGAACTGGAGGTGTCCATAGCCACGAGGTGGAGAGGGACTTACCTGGGCACCGTAGTTGAGACTTCACACCGGTCTCGGATCAGCCTTCAGTGACCTGCATCATCATCATCATCATCACACACACACACACACACACACACACACACAGAGAGAGAGAGAGAGAGAGAGAGAGAGAGAGAGAGAGAGAGAGAGAGAGAGAGAGAGNAGAGAGAGAGAGAGAGAGAGAGAGAGAGAGAGAGAGAGAGAGAGAGAGAGAGAGAGAGAGAGAGAGCTCCTTCTTCATCTTCTTCTTCCTGATTCTCCCTCTGGCCCTCCATAGCCACTACCTCCCTCCTGTTCTAGAGAGCGAGAGAGTGACTATTTCAGGCATTGAGACGCCCAGGACTCGAGACTTGACATTTTGGTGGAGACGGTTGTTGAACATTGTTGGGATAGACTACTGGCAGCTATCTTGAGCTATTTTTTCTGTGTCCTCCCTATCTTTTTCCTCCACCCTCATCCCGTCTCAATCAGCCATGCTTCATCCTCCCATGTGTGTGAGAGCAAAGAGGAGCTCTCCGTCCGCGTATGTACACACTCCTTCCACGTTGAGACGTGTAATGATGTTCGTGTGTATACAGTAATATACTCCTGCGTCTGTTAGTCAGACGGTTCTTTGAGTCTTCCGCTGTGCTACATTGCTTTTCGTTGCTTCATTATCAATTTGCATTGCTATTTCCTGATTCTTTCATTCACATCGGTGATCTTTGGAGTCCGCGCCCTGCCAATCTGTTGATAGGCATGCATCATCTACGCATAAACCTAATAATAATAGTTGCAATGCACACAGCACCCTGAGGTAAACCCCCTGTACACCAGGTAGCTGAGATACACCACAATAAGCCAGCAGGGCATGGCCACAGCCAGATGGAGGTCAGTGAGGAGGAGTACAGAGAACAGAAGTATGGGGAAGACAAGACTGATGTCCACTTGACATACGGTGCAGTGTGACATTGACAACACTGTGAGCTCTGCACCATCATTCGCAAAAAAAACAATAACTTGCCCATCGCAAAAACCAACTTGCCACGGTAATCATCTGGGGGCAAAGGTCATTGGCCCCAGAATGAGCGCTTTGGGAACAAAGCTCAGTGTTTGCGAACGGTATGGCCAGTGGATTGACAAACTACCAAAGTGATGAATGACAGAACCGTAAATGGAGCAACCAAGCATGAGAAGGTAGACATCGTGACAATGCACTCTTAAGAGGATTGATCGACCAACACCTTAACTTTATTGAGGCATACCTGGCTGACTCAGCACCTCAGTGAAAGAGGAAGAGGGGAAGCAGGGGGCACAGGGGGAGCTGAGGGTGAACTTGGATGCAAGTGGTGGGCAGATTGACATAAACGTAGACGAGGAAAGAAAGAGAGAGAAACAACGACGTGTGGAGCGAGGACAAGCAAAGCAGTTTTTAGGATTTCCTTCTGGTCTTCTCCTACTCTTCCACCCCCTTGTCCTCTTCTTCTTCTCCTCCTCGTCACCCTTTTACTTTCTTCATGAGCACACGTGAGTTTGTGCAAAGGAAGAGCCCATGATATGTTTTGGTGAACCTTGGGGCCATAATCCAGACTTGGAGCAAACCTGCTGTTACCAATCCTATCCCAAATGAGACTGCCGCCATCACCCGAGTACAACATATGATCACCCGAATACAACGTAGACTAAAAGATGCCCCAAATACAGCTATAATGACTGTACGTTGTATTCAGGTGAAGACGGTAGTGTGTTTGGATTTTTGAAATGCTCTTAGCTCGCCTAGAACAATTAATAGTGTTGGGGAATAAATAGTGTTGGGGATGCATGTACCTTTTTGAACTTCTGCTCCCAATAGTGATTACAGAATAGCAATCGCTCATGTTCGCTGAGCACTGTCAATGCCACTGGCATTGTGCCAAATCCTGGGATGCCAATCTGCACAGCAAGTTTGAGCCAGAACGAATGAGATTATTCATGACGTTCTTTCATGCCTACTTCAACAAGGAGCCATTCTTCACACTCATATATGTGAAACCAATTTCTCTCTTCAAGAACAGAGTTACCCAACAGCTAAAAGAAGGGAGCTCAGTAACAAAGATCGCGATGATGATGATGACGTAACACCAAAATACCTTACGAGTGCCACTGCTGTTCATATCAACGGTTTTTATCGCTCTACCGAAAACAACAAGCTGGCATAAAATTTATCTTCAAATGAAGGTCAAAAGATGATTTGCAAGGAGAAGGGAGGCAGTGTCACAAATGCTCTCCAGTGTCTCCACACATGAAGGAAATAAGTTCAAACTTCAAATAACATGTGGGTGCGGCAATCTGCGATTTATTGCATTACTGTATTACACATATCTATCCTTGGTTACTGAATGATGCACACCATAAATAATCGAAGGCACAGTGATTCAACCAGGGCTAGTCCCCAGAGGGACCGGGGACCCCTACCCCATCCGTGGTCCTCCCGGTTGGACCGGCCGGTGGCCCGGGCCGGTTCCCTCCCAGTTGCCCCCAGCGCATTTTTGCTAGGGCCTGAATTTTTTTTTTTTGCCGGCACATATGTGCTCCCGAGGCCTTATGTGCACGCAATTTCGAAACCGGGTCCTGTAGGCCCGGATTTTTCAAGTCCAAAAAGTGGCCAATCTTGGCCGCCAATCGTCGCAGATCAGAGGCAAAGATCGGCCAGGACCCCATTTCTTAAGAAAAACGGGCAGAGGATATCCGCTGCTGATCTTTGCAGATCAGCAGCGGAGAACCGCCACACATTTTTCTTAAGATGCGGGTCGGGTAGGCCCCTTCTCCAATTTGTCATCTTGTAGTCCAACGGACCAGTTGCCGTTGGCAACAGCTGATGCTCTTTTACCCTCAGCCACGAGGGGAACGCTATGCTTGTGATGAGGCTCTGCTGAGATTATATCCTTCTGCAAAGTCCCTGCCATCTGTGGAAACATCTGTGGAAAAAAGTTATGGGTTCGGATTTTGGAATCGTGATGTCAGAGCCGTCCGAGGTGCAAGCAAAAGTATGGACCTAAGCTGCACCACATGTATCTCGAATGGACCTTGCTGCACCACATGTATCTGGACAGACTGCCAGACAAGATACTTCCGGACTGATAACTCACCTTATGTAGAAACCAACAAACAGAACACGCTCTGCCTCCACGAGCTGAAAGCTGGAACCATAACTCTTCTGCTGTCGAGTTATACTCTGGAAGAGCTACAACTTCTGGCAAGGACCTCCTCTCATCATATCTGGTTCAGCTCGTGGGGAATCAATATCAAATAACACACTCCACGAAGTGCTCCAGCCACAAGGGGGTCTGATAAATGAACTTGCTTACTTTACCCCTCCCCATGAAAGCCATAGTTGCCTGAATATGCGCCCCCCTCTGGAAGGCCCCTGAAAAATATTGCACCTTGAAAATTTAATTGCGGATTCCGACAGCTTTTCAAGATCGCAGTCGGAATCTGCCAAAAAAAAAAAAAAAAAGGATATTTGGGCACTTTTTTTTCAAAACCGGTTTCCCGGTTCACCCCCCCGGGCTGGTCCGGCTCCGGTTGGACCGGGGTAGCTCAATCGGCCGGTTGCCGGCCCAGCACTGGATTCAACCCAAAACAACAAGCTGGCATAAAATGTCTCTTCATTGAGTCTTCAATGACAGTCGTAAGATGATTTGCAAGGAGAAGGGAGGGGGTGTCACAAATGTTCTTCACATATGTGCAAGGAAGATGAGCAATAGCGAACTTCAGCAATCAAACAGCATCATACACATGAGACCAGATAGTCGTGACCTCGAACCAAAAGCAGAATTGCATCACGAGTTTCACCAAATAAGAGCACACCAAAAGCTCATAATTGACAATGCTGGAGTAGTCTCATCATCATTAACAAAGAACCAATGTTGATATCCTATCTGGCGCTTGGCGCCCAGACTACGAATGGCAGATCCTATCTAGCCTAGACTACAATGCCGCTGATGACGTCAACAACTTCCCAAGTACGTGCAGACCTCGGCCAATGCCGCACGCTTCAAGCACCAGTGGGTCTCTCGTACCACTCACAACCTCGTTCCCCAACTCACAGATGCCACATGCACCCAAGGACCACCATGCGCCCCATCCAGCATACAGCACCACGGCTCGGCTATGGCTGCCTGCTCCTTCCAGCTCGCCCGTGAGCGCGTGAGCCTGGCAGGTGATAGCGCAGCAGCGCTTGCGCACAAAGCAGCCAGTGCCCGAATGCCCACTGCGTAGGCTGCCCCTTTCCTAAATGGAAGTGGCCAGCCTGCTTGCGTGCAGCCTGTGCTGATTTCAACTGCCGAGACTGACTGCAAGGCTGTACAGTATACGGCTGTGTTTGCTGTGTGCTTTGCTGTGTTTTTTTGTTGCACTGAGGGCCGCCCGCTGTTCTAAAAATCGCCTGAATTAACAGCAGTAGGGGCTGAGTGGTTACCGGCCATAAGTGGCCTTGAGCCCTAAGTGCAGTAGTAGGACCGATTTCGTAGAGGCCGAGTAGGCCCTAACTGAAATGGTACCGGTAGGCCCTAGGCTAGGATAGTGCAGAATCTACAAGTAGGTTCGGGTAGGAGTGTTTAGGACTTTTGGCTGTTCATTTTCGCGAAGCAGCGTTTGGAGAAGCCAAGCAAGTTGGCCGGGCCAATTGTCTACAGTCGGCATCCTGAGACCCTTGCTGTGGACAGCAGCCATAACCGAACTTCTGCAGGTTGCCGGAGATGGGGCATCCTCAGCGCATCTACCCCTGAGGGTATCTGCGTCTGGCCGGGCTATATCGAGGCTCCTCACTGAGTGTTTGTGGGTGGCGGCAGCCATAGCTGCCTGGTTCTTCATCAGAGTTGTTCATCAGCACTGAAGACTTCAACGCAGGATCTGTTCTTCATCTGGGTGGTTGGCGCTGGCCTCTGGGAGGCTGTTTTGGTTGTGCGCTACTAACTGGGTGTAGGATAGAGAGTGGAGTGTGGGGTTCTGAGTGTGGCGAGATACTGGAACAAACTCTGAAACGATATCTGGTTTTATTGGCTCTTCATCAGTGTGAATTCCAATTGTTATCCTCGCAGGTTCTTCTTGTAATTGGTTGTTGGGAGTTTGTCAGAGAGTGAGAAACACGCAGTGTCTTCTCCCCATCTGTGCATGGTTGTGCTTCCGCTATCTACTCTGATCTGTGTGCAGTTTGGACTCTGTCTCCTCTCCCCCTTCTCTTATGCATGTAAGGGTGTGTATGAGACTGTCTGTGTGTGAGTGGCGGTAAAATCGTCAGACAACCAAGTTCATAACACCCATCCAGAAACTTCCGGTAGGCCCAGGGAGGCTGAGCCTCAGACCAAACGAATCAGGCCCAGGGCCACCGACAGTTACCCGTGCCCAACTGCCCGCTGTCTGAGTTGGGCCTATGCTGCGTATCTCGCCCAGGGCCTGACTTAGATACAGTCGATAAAGGAGGCCAGGGCCTGGGCGCCTTCAACCAACTGGCGCTGCGCAACTGCCTGAATTTTTCCCCCAGTTGCGGAGTAGTCAAAATAGGCCTCTTGTCGTCTCTCGGGCCTGCCTTCACTTAGGGCGGCCGACCTGTTGCAAATAGGGGCCCAGTAGGGCTAATCGAGGCCTATGCCTCGCACATGAGTGACATGAGGGAAATAAAATGTGGGTGACACAATCTGCAATTTATTGTATTGTAATGAACCCAGTCTGACAGATACTCAGAAGTTGTCAAACATCAGTAGTTTCATTATTGTTATGACCTGTCGTCACACGGACTGAAACAGACAGCCGATTTCTGAGTCTTGCCGTGGAATGCATGCCATACTAAGTTCCCCCGCCTGCTAAGCCTGCTTGTGTGTGTGTGTGCTGGACTGCATGTCTGTCTGAATGCTGGCTGACCTGTGTGAGTGTGCTGCGTGCCTGTCTAAGTGACTTGAGTGTGTGTGTGGCCCCGTCGGGGTCGTGGATGTGGGGGCAGGACCGGTAGGGCCGGTACTTACCGGTGGCGTGGCATTTGAGGGTTGCAGCCAGGAAACACTCAGGTGGCGACGATAGCGGCCCTGCGGCCCTC